TAAAGGGTTGGCTAATTACCTGATGAGTTGAATGAGGTGTGTTTAATGAAGCAGAATGCTGAAGTATGAAGTGCTGGACAGGAGTTATTAAACTTAATAGCAGCAACAACTGCAACCAAATGTTTGCTATAACTGGAAATCAGTGTTTCAAATCACTGTGGAGGAATTTTGGCCCACTCTTCTTTGCAGAACTGCTCTAATTCAGCCACACTGGAGGGCTTTTGAGCTAACTGCCTGTTTAAGGTTCTACCACAGCATCTCAATTATGTTTAAGTCGGGACTTTGACTTGGCTACTCCAAACCTTAATTTTGTTTCTTTTCCATTCAGAGGTAGACTTACTCTTGTATGGAGAGGAATTCGTGCCAAATTGAAAAGAAATCACTACAGGGGGAAAACGTGAAATGCAATGCACACATGACATTACTTTTCCATAGGGGCATGCAGAATTTCTGCCAAAATGAAAAACAAATTTTCTGTTACTTTGTTTTCATGTCACTTCACCTCTTTACTGAAAAACAATACATGAAGATTCACAATTTAAAAACAAAATACAGTCCCCCTGGAAACATAATAAAGGCACGACTATACTGCTGTCCCCTGTGCAGTACTTAAAACAACGTTAAATCAATGTAATAGGTCTTTTACTTTTCATTTTGGCACATTTTTCTCATGTTGATGTTTAAAGGCAATCTCATGTGTGCGTTGCATTTCACTGTTTTGGTTGCATTTCAATGAGGGAAATACAATTGAGGTTCAAAAAAAAGAGTTAAAGCGACATGAAAACAATGTAACAGGTTTTGCTTTTTCATTTTGGCACGTGCTCTTCATGTCACTTACGGAAAAGTAAGAGCATGTGTGCGCTGCATTTCAATGAGGAAAATCTGTTTAAAGTACTGCATAGTGGAAAGTTGTGCCTTCATAATATTTCAAGGCAGATTGCATTTAATTCTGACACAAATTCAGCATTTTGTTTTTAAACTGCAAATCCTCACACATGGCTGTTTAGTAAAGGGGTCAAGTGATGTTAAAAAAATGTAATAGTGGTTTTGTTTTTCATTTTGGCACATATTCTGTGTTTCACTGTGGAAAAGTAATGTCATGTATGCATTGCATTTCACATTTTTTTTTCCACTGTAGTGACTGCTTTTCAATTCCTCTCCAGATTCTTCTCTATACTCTTGTTCTTCAGATTGTTGTCTTGCTGCATAACCAAATTGTGCTTGAGCTTCAGATCACAGACTGATGACCGGACATTCTACAGTAGGGTTTTCTGCTAAAGAGCAGATTTTGTGGTTCTGTCAATTATGGAAAGTGGCCTAGGCCCTGGAGCAGTGAAGTATCCCCACACCATCACACTTCCACTACCATGTATGACTGTTGGTAGGATGTTCTTGTGAAATGCTTTACGACAGATATAATGATACCTCTCTCCAAAAACGTTCCATTTTGACTTATCAGTCCACAGAACACGAAATGCCTGGAGGTCAACAATTTTTTTTGGCAAATGTGACACAAACATGAATGCTTGTGTCACATTTGTGAAAAAAATTTTGGTTGATTAGCAGTGATTTTTACTTTGCAACTCTCAGATTTTTGCCTGGTCTTCTAATGGAGGAATCATAAATGCTAACATTATCTGAGGCGAGCAAAGCCTGCAGTTCTTTAGGTGTTCTTCTAGGTTCATGGATAACTTACCGCTGTGCTCTTGGAGGAATTTTGGTAGGCAGGCCACTCCGGGGAAGATTCACCACTGTTCCAAGTGTTCCCCATTTTGTAAAAGTACATAGGAAGGTAATTGTAAAAAGTGAAATGGTACATTTAGCTTCTTTTAGCTTTAGCTTTGGTTCAACATCATCTTCACTTATAAAGTGTTTCTCATTAAAGTGTATCAGGGATGTCCTGTCCAAGCTTAATGCTCTGTCTGCTCTGTCCAACACCATCTGGTCCCCCCTTGCCATGGCCGGCGTCAAAGAAATTTCAGCTGTACGAAGTGCTCCCATGTGGAGACTTACCTAATCAGGCGATCCTCTGAAGTGAACTGATTGAATTTCTTTGCTGTGTTTACATCAGTAATTTGCAGAATGCGTTTGTCTCTTTTCAGACCGTCCTTGATCTGCCCATACGAGGTGTGATGCCATTTGATACAAAAGATGTTCTCTTTTAATCTGCTAATCCTTCCTTTAAATTGGCCAACCAGTTAACTTTGGACTGGCTTGACATTTGGCTTCAATTACCTGGCTACTCTGTTTTTTTTGTTGCATGTGTTTGTCACATGAGCCACTTTGCCTCCTCTGCCTGTAATTTAACACACCTGACTCAACGCTCCAACTGATCAATAAGCCTTTCATTCATTTTAAAGTGGTTGTGTTACAGCAGGAAACAAACAGATGCTCTAGTCTTCTCGGGACTTGCAGACACAGAGACTTATGCAGCTTGCAAGTGGGGGAATAACTCGTTCACCCAATCTTAATGTTCATGTGGTTTATGTGAGGGATAAGCAGAACACTGAGGTTGTGAAATTGGTGTTATAGTTAGCGAGCTGGCATCTATAAGTTTTGGCCTATTTTACTGGTGTTTTGCCCTCATATGAAGCAAAGAAAAATGTGGGTTATCTGTACATGTTTCAAATTTACAACACCATTAGCATTTACTATATTTGTACAGTTTATCTGATTGTGTTCTGTTATTTGCCTGTTCGCTTCCATCCTCCACCATGATGACAATAGTGCTGCCATTGCAACTTGGACAATTTGTGTAGTGTTGAAGATTTCGATGCACCCAACTTCATCATTCAACTTCGAAGGGTCTTCATGTGGTTCCTCCTGGTGGCAAACTCACTTTTCTGACAAAAAGAGAGACCACTTGAAAGCAGAATTCAAATACGTGTTAAAATATGTGTAAAATAAGTCCACAGAGCTGTAGAGCTGTTTATTCTGCTGTTCATTTAGGCCGGGGCTCCTCAAAATTCATAGCAAATGCCTCTGATGACATAAATGAAACAGGAGAAATTTAGATGGGCAAACAAAGAATATCTTCCAAAGAAAGTAACACACATTTCAAATTTTTAGATTTTGGTCATGGAAATAAGTCGAGCCAAAGTCCCCTCTCATTCACTGTAAAGCCAGGGTGCGGAGATCAAAGTCCAGCCCCACATGCTGCACTCATTGTCCTGCAGTCCACAATTGCGAGGACTGTGAGGCTGTTTTTTTCATTTTTCATTTTGGCAGTCAAAGGGGTGCTCACTAGTGCCCTATATCCACCCTTGCTGAAGACCTTGGTGAGCACTGCAATGATGCAGACTCAGCACACCAATCAGACCAATCAGAGCAGGTGGTTTTATTTACAGCTGTCTGGCCAACATCATGGAGAGGAAGATATTCAGATGTGAGTAGAAATATATTTGTTTATTAATTTAACTTGTCATTAAGTTGTTTTGCTTGTAATCTGAATTAAGCCACCGTAGATGGGCAAACACAAGTACGACTTATGACGGGGACAGCACATTCAAAGCCTGCACGTTAAACAAGTCTGCCACAAATGCATATTTTTAAACTAAGCACCATACACACACACACACACACACACACACACCAGTTTATTTATATAGCGCTTTTTACAACAGGTGTTGTCACGACAAGTTGAGCAAACCAATGGTGACAGTGGCAAGGAAAAACTTCCTAAGAGCAAGAGGAAGAAATCTTGACTTAAAGACTCAAAAGGGGAACCCATTCTCCTCTGGCAAACGATAACAGCAGATAATAAATATACAGTCCATCATTACATCAACAGAAAAGACTATTCCCTCTTGCATATAAAGATTCCAAGATGGTTCTTGGCTTTGAGGTGTTCTAGGAAATATCAATAATTGCTATAGAACCTTTACACTATATGAAGGTTCTTCAAACTTCTTTACACTCATGCAAAAATCATTCTTAAAAGCAGTGGTTCTCAAACCAGTCTGATTTTTGCTGTACTGTACATTTCCTAGCGTTAGTGTTAGTGCCTCACATCTGGATGCAGGTGCTTGACTGCAGTACACAGTAGCCAGAGATCTGAATCCGTTTGGCGGTGATGAACACAGGCCTGGTGTTATTGTTCCATCTAGTGGTCATTTTGTGAATAACAAGAGAATACACAACTCCATACAGACGGTTTAATGGCGCGCAGCACTAGTGCAGTTGTTCTTTTCCCCAGGTGCATGTGCGAGAGAATGTTTCTCTCTGTTGTCCCTGAGGACCTCCATTGTTAAACAGGCGATCGAGAATCACCTTAGTCTATTCTCTTATCTTGAAATAATAAAATGTTTGTGATGCACGTGAGTGATGATAGCACAAGATAAAAGTAACTTGATATGGGTTACTTTTTTTAAGGGTTACTGCATCAGCTCGCAGTGGCAGGTTTCCTCTCGCATAGGAAGCTGATGTTAACTCCGAGATCGCACCACCTTCTCTTTGTTCTCTCCCTCCTTCTCTTTCCCTCTTTTCTCTGCCTATCCTTTCTCCCTCCCACCCCCCAAGAAAAGGGTCATTCAGTTCACTACTGCAGCACCATCGGTAACCGGCCAGGGGGCGGGAAGAGACTAGTTTAGTATCGGTGATGCTGCGCGTGCACGCGCGGTCTGAATCCCGTATATGGAGCGAGCGCTTCTGACGCGCGCACGTGCCGCCAACACAGTGGCTTCAGTTTAAACGCTGTAAAAACGCTCTTTTTTAAATCTGAAACACAAACTAGAACTGTTTGTCCTTGTCTTATCTGTATCATGGTTCTTCGTTTTATTTTAGTGCTCAATCGTATGAATTACATTGAGTAAAAATAAAAGAAAAGCATGTTTTTATATTTGTCTCTAAGTGTGCATTAAGACAAATTGCTGGTATGTTTGATCTCTGTGAGATGCTCCTGTCCCAGCTGGAGGCAGGAGCGCGCGCCCCTCCCCCCCCCACTCCATCCACCCCCGGGCCGAACAGCGCACCCCCCCCCTTACCCACCCACCTCCATGCGCGAGAGTGTGCGCGCGCGAAAGAGAAATGCAGCGCGAGCTTTAGACTGGACAGCCCGAATAAGCACCATCCGCCGCCACGCGCACGAGGGAAAAAGGCAGCAAAAAAGCGAGCAGATACTCGAGACAGGGTCGCCAGGGAAAGACCACCGCCGACGGTAAGATCAGTCCACTCCGTTAGAACCCCCTTTTAATATTCCCATTATTTTATCTTTTTACAGCTCGTTCTTTGGAAGGTTTTTCTGTCATGTTGAAACATTTTGATACGGATCTGAGTTAAATCGCAGACTTTCTGTCAGTGGTGGTGAATCAGTGGGTGAATGGGGCGTATTGATCATATCACACGATTTCGAATCGAATTTGGGTTGAAATACTGTGGAATCAAGGCTGAGAGCGGAGAGAGGGGCGTGTACCGTGCAGCCTCGCAGCCTCTCTGTCTGACTGACACGGTGGATTGTACTCGGATCGAGCGCTTCAGCCGCCATTCATACCATTTTAAGCCTTTAAACTACCGCACGCGTCTGATCACTGACACTGATTTAATATGCCGCTTGTTGACCTGTAGTTAATTAATTAAACTAGTTCTTTGGTTTCAGCAGACATTTGTAATTGGAATGCATCTAAACAGGAATGCCATTTGTTTTGAAAACTGATGACGTTTTAAATGTTCACCCAAAAACCAAAAAACTGGCAGAAACGTCCATCTCCACCACACCCCTTTGTCTTAGTGTGGAGGTGTGACACATTTTGCAGCGCTACGTCTAACTGGCACACAAGCACGCGCTGGCGGGCGCGCGCATATATACGCGCGCACTAGCGCGCACAATACCGTTCATATAAAAGGGCATGAATAATGCATATCATGAACACATTTGCTTTATCTGATCGCACTGTCTTTTATTTCTGAAAAAAGGAGTATCTGGCAACTAAAACATTGACAACCATTAAAATGAATTCTTGCTTTCGACCGCCTTTTTGCACACGTTTCAGAGCGTAGACTGTCTTTTGTTGTACGTTTGTGATCACTCTTTTTTGTGTCGAATTTCATCAGTAATTGCCCGATCCTTTGTCTCAGTGGAGCGCATGCGCAGTGCGTGCAGGGTGTGGATGGAGAATTGATGGGCTTTTTTTTTGTTCAGCAGATTGGCGCCTAATTTACGTGCCCGTCACTTCAGCTCACGGGCTTTTTTTTTTAGATTGGTCAGCTTTAGTGTATTACAGTTGTTGACCTGCCGTTTGAGTACAGACCTACATTAAAGCTCTTGAAGAGGCGCTGCAGACAATGAGCCGAGTGGCCAGACGGTCTGCCCGAGCAGTGTGGACGCTCCAAGCGCGCGCTAAAAAAACCCCGTAAGTGCCATCAGAGCATCATTGGCTTCACAAACACCCCCTCGATTAAATCCGTTAAGCAAACCCGCCAGTCTATCAGCCTACAGTTGGTGGAGCTCTGAAGAACGAGACTGGCGCGGTTTGAACAATGGACCAAGCGCACGCGTTCTTTGTGACTTAAAGGGGAATTCCATTTTTTTTTTCAAAATTTGAAAAGAGTTAAATCCTTGTAAACAAAAAAGTCATTCAGAGTGGTATGATGTGAAATGGCTCACTGTAGAGATTTCTTTACAGTGGTGGTGATGGAAACCAGGGGTCGCCGTCTGCATAGCACAAATATCGCCATTTTATTTACTATCCAGAGCCACCCGTGAACCTACACATCTTCTGAGTTTTATATTTAATGATGATGATGGTAAAATAGTGGAAGTTTTCTTTGGGGTCTATGTTGCCTCACAACGTCCTGAATGTATCCCTCCACCATGAATGAATTAAATAATACCCTGTGTTTTAGAGCCAGAATCGTCTCAAAACAATCGTAAATGAATGTTTCAGACGTCATAGTATTCATAACCGTTTTATGTAATAACTGTCTGTGAGGGAGCTGCCAGAGGTGGACGTCTGGTTCCCATCACCACTACTGTGAGCGATTCTGACTCGGTAAGTTTCTCTAGCAGGGTACATTTTAACACCAAACCGCTCTGAATGACCGTTTACATCGTAACCATTTACTTATGCAGAAACTTTGAAAAATCAGCGGAGTGTCCCTTTAAGCGCTTCATGATTTGTCGGCTCGCGGCGCAACGAAACGCCGACTGAGTGAGTCACGCACGCCTGAGCCAGCACGCGGGGGGAGTCGCGCGCGGAATACTAAACCGAGACACGTTCCTAGAGTGTCCGGACTGGGTCTCGAGGCTGATCGGAGCGACCAGACACCGAAATCGGTACGAAGCTGAAGTCAGCGTCTTATTCGGCAGCATCATGTTCGAATTTCATCGTTCCACCTTAAATGATGCAGCCTCAGGCGCCGGAATGCAACTGCTGCACCATTTAAGGTAGAACGGGAAAAATCGAGCAAGAAAGCTGCCGAATAGGAAGCCAACAAGCCCGTGCAAGTCCTGGCTTTCGAAAGCAAAGCCAGCGACGGAAAATAAAAGTTGTCGTTTTTTGTGTCCAACGCGAGCGCGCGTATCACGTTCCTGAAAAAGCAGCGTCTTATTGAATTAGCAGAGGCGCGCGCGGGCGCCGCGGCAACAGTTGATAAATGTGAAATGGCGAATCAGAGCGACGGATCAACAGTTGGGAGGCAAAATGGCGAATTCCGCGCATTGTTGGGGAGATAATGCAGGAAAGATGCGGAGAGAGATGCGCAAACAGAGACAGAGGGGGAACATGGGTATCAGTGTGACGTTAAAGGTTCTAGAATCTCTCACAAATCATTCATCATTCACTGATCCAGAGCAGAAGATAGAACCTCATTTGAAGAATTATTAGAACCTTTTAGAAATGTTTTATTTCTCTGTTAAAGCGTCAGCCTCTGTAAGACTGTTTAACGGGCAAATGTGGGAAATTGTATTGCACTGAATAGAAGACATTTTTTTCTAAACAACAGAGGTAACAGAGGTAAGACAAATGCAAACTTCTGACAGTTCTAATTAATTATTTGAACACAGTCAGCACTAAACAAATTCACTCAGGGCCTGGTTGCCACAGTTGTACATAAGTTCAGACATAGGCTAGCTATGATGTAAATGTTTACGTTAAGTTCAGGTTTATACATTACTAAATCAAACCCAGTCACTTAATACTTACACCGCCCCCTAAGTAGTTGTAATTGTCAGGGGACCAGTGGAAACCACATTAAACACACAAAGAAGATAAAAGAAAGTGACTGTTTTGGGTAAGTAAGCTTGAAGCTAAATGCTGTTTGCTGTCATTTTACTGACCGCTCTAGTCATCACCCTAACATGAAGTTGGCACCTGCAGCTTCAGTTCAGTGAGAATCAACAGCTACTGAAATGTCTACACTAATGCTACTGTGTTGGTTAGCTAGCAACTGTCGTATGAAATAGCTGCATATTCAGTCGTCGTAAGGAAGGAAACATTAAAGAATTAAAGAAAGATAACAGACGGGTATTCAGTTTTATTCAGTTCAACTTGTACACCTCGTTCACTTCTATACTGAATATTTTTACCATGGAAAAAGTCTGAGCGAGCTGCCGTCATACACGTTTATGGACTGGTTATCATCATGTTCACGCAATGTACAGTTCAGTAGTACTAGTTAAGATATGACTTCAGGATTTGGGATGCAGCCAAATTTAGTAGAATGAACTAGTGTTAACTAAGAGCTTAGAAAGGACTTTATGCACAAACATGAGTACAAACTTGCAGTGTAGTCCGGTGCCTGTACTGCCTCACAGCTGCAGTGTCGTTACTAAGCTGATTATAGTCATAATTTTTTTCTTCATTTAAATTTAGTTCAAGATACAAAAAAAATACTGAATTGTGAATTCAGTATTGTGAGTTGAATCGAATCGAGTGTATTGCTATACACCTATAAATTAACTCTGTTTCTTCTACGTCATGTCTTGTCAATACATTAATGTAATGATATTTTGTCCCATCCAATTTCAATTTTATATTGTTTTATTCATTACAGTGTAAAGAGCAACTAGCTTTTTCAGTTGGTTTAAAACAAATAAACAAAAAATATATAAAAAATTGGAGTTACAAAGTTTTCATACAACAGCACAATTTTAAAGGTTAATCTCTGTTAGGAAGAGTGGTCCCTTTCAGGTCCTTACCCCACCTCCACACCTTCACTCAGATGACTGACCATGCTGTAAACCGGAGAATAACTGCTGAGCCTGGTGTTTATGAGTGTTTGTGCCAGACTGCAGTTGGAGGGTTTACAGATGGCTTTATCTTGAATGTGATCTCTCTTGCATTGAGAAATAAGAACGAGCTTTCACACACTGACCAAAGCAGCAGGTCTGCTTCCTGGTCACATGTATGGTGGTCGTTTATAATGCAGTAGGTCAGGGTTAAACACGACAAACTCTGCTTAGAGCAAATCAGACCACACACGACAGTGTGTAGTAATGAGTGAATCAGGACATGAGATGTGTGCAGTAATAGGGAGCTTATGGGAGAAAACTGTGCAGTGAAGGTAGGAAGGACACACTGTGGAGTTTTAACAGTTCAATCAGAAATTGAGTCCAGTCGTCTGCAGTGCCAAAGACTTTTGGATACACACCAAAACAAAAACGTGTACATTTACCATTTACAGTGCAAAAGTCAAAGACCATCCTTTATGTATTCAGTTGAAAAAGTTGAAAGTTTTAGGAGCTGTTTGTCTGATGGTATCAGTGTTGGTGGTCTGCCAGGTCTTGCATGGTTGTTAGGAGTCCCATTTTCTCTGTATCTTTTAATCATCTTTTTCACTGATTTTTGCACTTTTACCATACATGTTTGCTCTCTGTTACACTCTTAAACATGAACAATTCTACGCTGTTCTTGACTTAATCTTGGATTAGTATACATCTTATGCGACTCCATTCACCAATCAAAAACAGCTTACATGACTGTTTGATCAGTCAAACACAGTCATATGTACACTGTAAATTACAGGTGCTGTAGTTGTTAACAGCGGCGGGCTTGGTGGAAGAACCAGAGATTTCAGCACATTGCCAGGCAGCAATGGTTCAAATGATGGACGGTGCAGTGGAAGGAGAGCACCCCCAGCCTCTTACTGAGGCAAGGTTTTCTCTACAGACTACCAAAACCAATAGTTATATCATGTGCTGCCTTCTTTGTCAACCTAAAC